AGGTGTTTCACTATGGTTGTGCTTGCACCGATACTTGCCGCTCGTAACCCCGCCGTGTTAACTCTAATTCGCTTGTGTCAGTGGCTGGCCGTCGGTTATTTTACTCGAGATGGACTTAATTTTTTTCTTTCGTTTTTCTTTTTTTCTTTTTTTTTTTTTTTTTTGGTTTAGATTAGAGATTGGAGACTTACTTCCCGCAAATCTTGCAGGGGTAGTGAAGTGGGGTGGGCACGGATAGTTGTTGCTCAGAACTAGTGTGAGTTTGTGAGTTGGTGTTGACTGTGGCGTGGCCGGTATTGCCGGTTTGGGCGGTTTGGGTGCTTCCGGCCATCGTTACTGTTACACTTCCGCTAAAGCTCTGACAACACAAAGAAACACAAAGCCAAAATAAACAACACAAACAAACAACAACGACGTACGACGACGACGACGATGGTGGCGACGACGACGACGACGAACAGAGATAAGTAAACGCAGAGAAAACGTGTTGTATTTTTTTTTGTTTTTCTTTTTTTTTTTGTTTTCACGGCAACGCACAACGCGCTCGTACCTTGTGAGAAGAAAGCGTGAGAGAAAAGTAGAAACGACAGGTCCAACAACAAGTCACATGCGACACTTAAAACGTTCACGCGGTTATCGTCTACGCGTGTCGAATGGTCACGCGCTGTACGTACATATCGAGCACAAATCGATCGTTGTATATGCTTTCTACTTGTATTATTATGTTCGAATTTTCGATCGAGGAGTTTTGCATTTTTCAAGTTTTAGATATTTCTGGATATTTTTCTAACTCGTAAGTGATAAGGTTTTCTTTTTTTTTTTTTTTTTGGAAAATTTAGGAATTTTTATTTGGAACAAAATTTTTTGAGCTTAATTAACATACGATCGTTTCTTGTAAATTCCTGAAGAATTCAGTTCATGTGACAAAATTACCATATCGATTACGAGTTAATAAAGATATTGTTTCATGCATGGATTTGATTGAGAATTAATTTTTCAGCTTGAAACTTGCACGATCTTAATCTTGATATATATATTTTTAAAATATAATATTTAATTCTTCCATAGACAATATTTAGAAATATCTGACGCAGATAGTTTGAACGATTCATGCTCGATACTTGACGAATGGTTAGTTGGATAACTTGAGTTCAATGGAAGATATACATTAATAATCTCGAAATAATCGTCTAGACATTTAACGATCGATCTATGCTTGTTATTAACAAAAACAGAAAAAAAAGATACATAAATATATATATAAAGAAGAATTTT